GGTAGCGGTCAATGGCGAATTTTCTTTATTTGGGAAAATAATCAAGCCTGGGAAATTGACTTGAATAAGCATGATTACAAAAAAATCAAAAGATAACGATAATCGTCGTCCTTGCTTGTTTTATATTACAAAAAAAATAAAAATTATGAATAATAAGGAAAATGGCATTTATCAGCAGGTAAAAAAAATACTCCTGGGAATATAAAAAGTGGTTGTTGGTGCTTATTGATAATAGCGGTTACTCAAAGCTAGAGTTTAACCATTAAGGAGGTGCAAAAAGAGAGCAGGATAGTAAAATTTATGGTTAAAATTGAAGAAACATAATTAAAAAATTTACTTAAAAACAATATCATGCCAAAAGCTCAAGAATGATTGGATAAAGAATATCCTTTGGAAAAAAGAACAGAAATAACTGACCTAAATACTAACGGTAAAGACTTAGAAGGAGAGTTAAAACTAACTGGATTCTTTAAACTGAAGAAACTCGATTGTGCCTGAAACAAATTAACTAACTTAGACCTAAGCAATTGTCATGAATTAACCTGAATAGAATGTCAAGCAAACTCATTAACCAACACTGGATTTTTAGCAACTTTGCCAAACCCACAAAAGTTAATTTTTTTATATATGGGAGAAAACAATTTTGTCGAACAAGACCTAAGTTTCTTACGGCCTTTTATAAATTTAGAAACTTTACGAATATGAAATAGCCACCAAAATAGAATAAATAGTGGATTGGTTAATCGTTTCTATGGCAGTTTAAAGTATTTGCGAAACATGAAAAACTTAAAACAGCTTGGCATAGGTAACACTAATATTGATTCTGGTTTAGAGTATTTAGCTGAAAGTAAACTAGAAACATTTCCTTCAAACTGATATCCTTGAGGCAATAATAGTGAATTCAGTGGTAAAATAAAAGAAGCAAAATCAGAAAAGATATTTGCTGAATTGCGTCCCTATGCTATTGATCTAAAAAAAGGCAAATATGATTTTTCAGCCTGAAAGAATGCTAAATTAATTGAATTAAGTCAAGAAGCAGAAAAATGACAAAACCAATTCAACAATCAAGAAAAACAAATAAACACTCTGATTAAAGATTTAAAGTTAATAGGTGATGATTTTCTTGGCAAGAAAAAAGAAGAATTGGTAACCCTAGCTAACTCTATCAAAGAAAAACTTGATAGGTCTCTACACGGTTATTTAGAAATATTTTTAGACGCTCAAACCGGAAGTAATGCTATTGAAATAATTAAAAAAAGTTTGCATAATAAGACAGATGAAAAAGAATTAAATCAATTATCTGCTATAAAAGCAGAAATAATTCAATTAGAAAAGCAATTAACTAATCTCCAAAATCAAAGCCAACAACAAATTCAAGTTGCTCAAATTATCCAGTTGCCGCCTAAATAATTTAATATAAAAGCAAATAAATAAGGGTTAATCTCTTAAAATTATCTATAACATGTCTCGTCTCGTCTCCCCCGCCCATTGATTATCAAATAATTGATACCGCCGGAGTAAGTGGTGGGTATTTAACCTATATCAAGCAAGCGGACATAATTCTCGTGCCTTTTATTCCCCATTATGTTGATTTACAAGTAATTATTCCTTGATTTCAGTCTTTACCGCCTAAGCAACAAAATAAAGTTTATTTTCTCCCCAATCGTTACCAAAAAACCAAAGAACAAAAAGAAGGCTTAAACCAGTTAAACGAGACGAGACGAGACATAAACGGAGGAATGATTTTGTCTCCTTTATCCCAGCGCCCCGCTTTATATGGTTCCCTTTTAAATGGTAGTTCAGAAAACTTTTTCACTAAGCCAGAAAGCCAACAAGCCCAGCAAAATTTTACCCAATTATTTAATCATTATGAGAAAAATCATTAAGCAAAGCAAACAAATTAATCGTTCTCCGCGCATTACTTTTGCTTTAAACGCTCATTTATGCCAGCAAGCGGAAAATATCCTTAAATCCCAATGAACGCAAAACAATTATAATTATCGTTCTTTATCCGAATTAATTAGAAAGAGTTTAGCGGCCTATCAAGCACAAGAAATTAGCCTTAATCCTAGTGAACGAGATAAATTTGCTCCCAAAAGAGAAATCACCGTGCGATTTAGCCTTAACCCTGATTTATTGAACTTTTATTATTCTTTACCAGCGGGACAAAGAACCGCCATCGTTGAAGAAAGTTTAAGGGTTTATTTAGCAAGGTTAGGAAATTAACTTTAAAAAATCATAAAAAACTAAATAACATAAAAACTATGAAAAACAAGCAAGAAAAACGAAATCGCTCCGATGAGTTTTCTCAAAAACAAGAATACCAAAAATATTTAGAAGAGTTATGTGACCCAAATTATTCCGGGGGTTCATGAGCTTTACCAGAAAATACCACTCCCTTAGAACAAGCCAAATACGAAATTTGTCGGCAAGTAGTAAGTTATAAATTAGATACTAAAATTAGCACCGAAGAATTAGCTCAAAAAATCCAATTAAGCAAAGCGGAGACGGAGGATATTTTATATTACCGCATTGATTACTTTACTTTGGATAGACTAATGGACTATACTAATAAATTATTTTCCCCCTGTGAAGTAAAAATCACCATTGAAAAAAAAGAACTTGGCAAAAACACTCATGCCCGAGTTATTTAAATGGATAAAGAATTGTCATCAACAGGATTAACAAAAATACCCACTTTTTCCTTTTCTCGTTCTCTCTTTTTGATTATATACCAATCCTCTAACTCTCCCATTCTCCCCAAACCTAACCATGGTGTATAATCATTTTCTGTAACAAACATTTTCGCT